AGGGTAGCGGAGTTCGTCCCAGCTACGCAATACGGTCCGCACCAATTTAGCAGCGAGGTGCGCCGCGCATAGCTCTAGACGCGGTAGAGTCGTTGATTTAAGCGGCGCCACCTTTGTCACCCTGCCATCTTTTTGTAAGGTGCGCGCATTTCATTCACATTTTTAAATCAGGCAATGCCTCTAACAGCCAGTTTCACCAGCAATTTAAATGGAAAATGACTTCTTATTTTCAGTCACTTTCCATCTAAAATTCAAAAAATTAAAATCATTTTTCACTTAAATTGCTTTCGTGAATTTGGCTGTAATAGAAGTCCTACAATTTTCTCATTTTTTTCCACTGCTGTACCACTCAGGAGATACCAGAACTCAAACACTTCTTCCTTTGAAATAAACAGAAGCATGAATTACCTGTTACTGAATAAAAAAAGTAATTAATTTTTTTTTTAACAAGCTTTCATTAATTGTTAAAAAAACTAAAAGTAAAATTTACGGAACAATTTTTGTTTCCATCTAAGTAATACACGTTATTAATATGAACCAAATCGGACCATAAATACGGGTTTTCAAATATCTCGACACCTGCGCCACCTAGCGGATTAGTTCAACTTTCATATTGCCTTAGGTGTGTATAGTAACAAGCGTAATAACACGGGAGAGCTGCAAATTCTCGCTAGCGAAAATTTTACTAGCAGAAGAAGAATAAATGTCAAAAGCCGACATTTGTTGAAGTGCTTAGGCATAAACAAAAGTAAAATGAATGGAAATCAAAATATTTGATGTACTGGACTGTGTAAGTGCTTGTGTACAATGCAGAGTTTAAAACTGCTTTATAAATAGTAAAATGTTTACAGCAGAATGTCAAAACAGTGCAACAACTATTCACTTGCAAGTTTTTATTAGTTTTGTGTTCAATAACTTTTTCTGCTAGTTTTCTCTTCTTCTCAATTTCACGCTCTATTTTGCTTTTACGCTCTCGCTGCAATTTTCTACTGGAGAAGTTACTATACACACCTATTGTCATCGAGTTCTGAGCTAAGTTTGCAGCTTCAAGTCTCTATCTGATCGGGAAGTTGGTTAAAATGGATTTCGAGATTTGATTACACAGGTGAAAGTAAATAAAAGCTTCTAAAAAATATATATTTAGCTTAATGTTCGGATAGTATGTATTGTGCTTTATGATTTGCTAAAGTAGTTTTAAAAATATAAAAAATCCTCCTACCCCAAATTTAACTTTAACATAAAAATCATAAAGTCAAAATTAGTGCAAAGGATTAAATTATTCAATACTTTGCGTATAAATTTCATTTTCTGCTGTAGTAGTTAAAAAGGTACAAAAAAGTAGGAAGTCTACTACTATTTCGTAAATGGGCTTCATTTATTGCCCGATTCTCGCGTACTTCCAAAATACAACATTGCGTACAAGTTGGCGCTGTCACAACGTACAATACACCTTGTAGTATTGCACCATGCATTCATGCATGACACCGACCTACAAGTATGTTCACATATCAATATTCAGCCTCATTGCGTAAGTCGTAAATTGGGGTAAATTATACGACTCGACAACATTAGCATTGTCTACTGTCGTGCTGAAATAAGTAAACGACGAAAATCGTCGAAAACTGTGCAGTGCTGCCAAGTTTTTCCGTTTTAATACACTAGTCGAGTCGAAATTTTAGGCAATGACATGGGATTTTCGATACGATTCAACTCTCGAAAAACGACTAGCATTCGACACGACTCTCGCAATGAGGCTGATTATCTCCATCAAAGCTCGTTTTTAATCACCCCGTTTACACAGGCAAATCTCAGATTATTAGCCGTCAAATTTGTTGTGCTTGTTATTCTCACATCTCAAGGAAAACTTATGTTTCTTCTCTGTGCCACTGTGATTACGTGTTTCTGCTATATTAAACAATATAAATATATTTTAACTTGAACATTTTATTAAAAATACCTTTACAAACCTCTTTTCCTTGCTAGCGTCCATTTTTGTTTACTTTTATATTTGGCATTTCTCCTCTTTTTCGCAAAAACAATCGATAAAGCTAGGATGGACACCGAAAAGTTATCGGTTAAATCTGAGATTATTTAATAATTACAGATTAACAAGGGACGAATTTTAAACTATGTTAACATATCAATATTATC